GCGAAGGGAAACAGGCAAGTTCACTGACGACGTTGTGAACTTTAGTCAACTGAAGTGGCTTGGACATGTACTGTGCATGCCGAGCCACCGACTACCTTGACGTGCCATGCTACGGGAAGTTGGAAGAAGATTTAGAGTGGCCAGACCACGACGTGGCACTGATTCATGAAGTCTCTGACTGAAAATCGGCAACAAAGGCACAGATGTATTAACTCCTTGACATCTAAAACCTGAATATTTGCTCTAACCTTTATCTTCAGATTGTTTTACCTCTCACACTGCTTTGTCTACTTCGTTATCGCTCTTATTTTACCCACTTGTTCTTTCTATACTACTGTGAAGTGTGGCAATTCGAACCAGTGCACTTGTTTGTGAGGTTCTACGTCGATTTTGTCTGTCTGATGAACTTCAGTTAACCGAAATGCTCTCAACAACCTCGTGCAGCATCCAATAAGCCATGCATGTAGTGGGAAGGCTGATGATGATACATGGCTGTTCACACTTCGATAAGTGGAGAAGAGTTCGAACCCGTGACCAATAGGTTGAAAATCAACTACCTAAACCAATAAGCCGATGCCTCACAAGAATGGTCCGTCATCAGTGAAATACGTCTTGCACACATTGCAAATATACAAGGAGTTCAATTATGGAGTATGGAGGCCAGAGCTAAGCATTGGTCACCAACAGGTTTAGCTTACTGACGTTTATTATGTATAATAGGTAGGAACCCATTCGCCAACAGAAGTCGAGCAATTCAACCTTGTATAGCGACGAAAAATTACAAGTATCAAACATCATCAAATGGTATCTATTTCACAAGCAGTGGCTGTTGTGCAGCAAAATAATCCTGCGATACTGAATGAAAGCATCAAGAGGGTTAAATCTTTCTTAATAATCGTGTAAATACAATTCTCAAGAGAGCAGAGCAAGAAACTTCTGTATCACCGTTGAATAGTATATTTCATCGACAGTAATGTCCACCCTTAGATGCATGCTGAATGATAAGGTTTAATGGCAGACGGACCAAATCGCAATGAGATTTCCTTTTGGATTTATTACTGGTGAATTTCTTCTTGCAAGCTATTTATAGGCCAAACTCCAGCAGAAAAATTGTCGATGACATACTAAATGTAAGAAGAAATCAACTCGTACACAATTCTCATGAAATGAACAGTTGGTTTCGTTTCTGTAAACCGGAATCTGAATATATTCATTTCCTACCTATAAGTCGTTAGAATCGTGGAGATATGGCTCATTGTTTCCAACCGACGGGTCACTAGTCCGAACCCATCTCCATCCACCTAGATTTGGGGAGCTGGGTAGTATTGACAGCCCTCAAGCAGTAGGTGTGGCTCATTGTTTATGGAATGAATATCCACAAGCCTGAAGAGTGGATTTCGACTTGGCGGAACCTGAATAATAAACAATTTAGAAGAGGAATCCACAGGCACAAAAGGTGGCAATACTAATCAGATAACCCCGATATTATGATACAGGTAGCAATAATTCTAAAAAGTTGTTTAAGTAATATATATGGATTCAGCCAAACATCCCCACAAAAATGAAATCTAGAAATTAAGAGGGGTATTGCTGACAAGTTTCTAAGAATCTCTTAGTACTGAGGGTGTATAAATTTTTTTACGCTAACCGCCCTAGAATAGCTTGCAACAGTCCTTCACTAACGGACTTGTGTGAAGTACAGATTACCTCAATAATACAGTTACATGTGCGAATTTATGCTTACCTACATTTGTGAAGCAAGGTACATTTCTTGTCACTTTTAAAATAGTATGTCTGTATGGTTTAGTTATTTAGCATTCTTAACCCATGCATCTTGTTAATTCAAAAAAACTGCTTACGAGTAACTAAATTAATCAAACATTTAGAAAAAAGTGATGTCCGTTATGATTCTTCGACACTAAACATAACGACATCAGATCACTTCCGGTATTTAGTGGTTACGTCGCCATCCACAAGCAAATTAGAGGATTATTACATGCTATAAATTGGTTTGAATACAACTATAAATTAACTTCTTTCGATTTAATGTGTATTGACTTAAATGTTCCCATTGAGTCATCGCGACCGAAAACCGCTAACTCCACGTGGTGGTTGGGCTTGCATATCACAATGACCCAGTGAGCTATACTGGTGGAAAGCTTATTCCCTCGAGGTCCAAATATACCAGAAAGGTCTGTTCGGTGGCGGTAAGATAGAAAGTAGTTGTCGTTATAGTGTAAATTGCTACGCTAGGATGGGGGTCCAACAGTGACGTCACGCCGCTAGCTGAGTGGAGTTGAGATGACAGTAAGATGTCTCCTTCGACTAACTGTGCCATGCTGCCCTCAAGACGGGAAGGTTAGCAAAGGTCGGCCCCACAAATAGTACACACCCCTCAACAGCATGGCATACCAGCGCGGGCTACCTAGGTTCGCAGTAGGATTGAAAACTAACAAACTTAAATACCAAACTACTAAAACGTCAGTGTGTGACTGGCCTCAAAAACAGACATCCCTTCGGCTCTGTAGTCACGGACTAACCCCTCTTTTCCAGGTACCTGAAGGAGAACTACCACTCGATAGTATGGGTTTCCGGGATTCGCCAACCATCCACACAACCCTGTCAGCACTGAAGTTCCTTCAGACCACTTTCCACCTTCCCATTGAGTCACAAAATAATAAAGACTTCGGTGAATAAATTTGTCCTTTGTGATATCATCATAAACAGCTGTACAAATGCATTTAAACATATTTATTGTGCCTATTCACTGGTAACAAATGTCAGTGTCTGTTAATTGATAATTCTTGGTAGATCTTACGCGACCAGGAGAATGATATAGAAATGTAAGTTGTTTAAGAAACATGGAAATATTTGACGTGAGTAAATGTGAGTTGAAATCAGATAGTAAAGAATTCATAACGAAGTGAGAAGACGGCTGTCAGTGAGAAGAGCAATGAGATAAAGTATAAGTGAGTTACAGGAAGGACCGTTTACGTAACAACAATATGAATATCAAAAGATTAGAAAGTTTAAAAATCAAGAAGTGAATAAAGACCGAGAATAGCAAAGTTGTTTATGCATACACAATTTCGGCATCAATTTTTCATTGCCAGAGCCTCAACAGTGCAAACGTCAGCGCAGATCAAGCAACATCTCCATTTTACAACATTTGGTTGACAGCGGACAGACAGTCTTAGAAAATTCGTTGACAGTGGCCTACAAAGTATAACGCTATCTTCCGAAGAGTGGAGGGAAACATTTACTTAGCTTCTTTTGCTATGGGCTCTGACAATAAAAAAAATTAATACCGGAATTGTGTATCCAGGAACAATTTCGCCACTCCCTGTACTTATCTACTTCTTCATTCTTTAAATTTCCCAATTTTTAAGCCTAACTTATCTCTTAATTTTCAGTTATAAATTTCTCATACCCACTGACGACTGTCTACTCACTTCATGACGACAACTCACATTTATTCATGTTGTCTAGTATTTTCATGTTCCTTAAGCAATTTCTATTCCTGTTATTCTGCCGGTCACCCAGGATCTACCAAGAATTATCAATTAACAAATACTGACATTTATTACTAGTAAATGTTCACAATAAATATATTTAAATACTACGGTACAGCTGCTTAGGATGATATAGCCGAAAACAAAAATGCATCGACATGCACCTCTTTTGGTCCATAAGTTATGAAAGACTACTGCTGCACAAAACGACTGGAATCCCGACAAAAACAGATTCAATTTACTTATCGCTGAAGAAGAAAAAACTACTGTCCACACACGCGAAGGACCACAATCAGAAGTACACATTGACAGGTAAAAACGATAATCATTGGTTTGACAAATAAGACACTTAACGTAAGAGGGATTCTAAGCACTCATAGGCAGGGATTTCAATCGTAAGTATTCTTTCAGTTATATTTAATAAAGGCGAAATTTGTGATTCATAAAAGGAGCAAAATATTTTTGTGATAACATTAATAAATTACTTATGCTGATCTTTCAAGAAAAAGTTGAGATAGGGAATTAGGGGAAAAAATGAAAAAACAAATCATATATATATATATATATATATATATATATATATATATATATATATATACGTTTACGTAGTCTTGGATATACAGGTATGCATAAGATGAGGAAAATTGTGAATCGATCACATTCATTTGTAATGAGCCATTATATTAATTAGATTATAAAATGCTTCTGTTTAAAAATTACAAAAAATTATTTGAAAAGCGTAGCGAGTAAAGCAAATAAAGTAATTCGGTTCAGCAACCAATTTTTCGCCTACAAGATGAACTGTATAGTTGTCTGATTATCCCTATATATGCATAAGTATGGTTCAAACCAGATGATATCAACACTTAGAAAATCAAACGGTAACCGCACTTCAGAGCAGGAGAATAATTAGGCGAAAAAACAACATATAACAATGAATAAATGTCACAGATCAAATTTTGTTGAATTTTATCTAGCTGAAAAATGTACAACAGCTAAAAAAGTGCAGGATCAAAGCAAAACAAGTCATTCTTCAAAAGACAAAACAATAAAATATTAGGAGAGAAAGCGCTGACTAACTAAAAAGAACAAAGAAGGAAGAGACAATCAATCTAACAAGTAAATCAAATCACTTCATTAAATGCAAATTTACTTTAGGCACATAAATATATATGCAAAAGATACAATAAAAAAAAGTAGTGATGACCAAATAAGCAGCTGAATACACTGCAGACTGATGGTTGGTGAAAGCACAAAACAGAAAATTACACGAAAAAGAAAATAACCGGTTCATTAAAATTTTTTAAAGAATCAAGCGGTAGGAGATTAGAATGCACAATGAGTGAACTATACTATCTTATATATAGAATGCCGAAAATGTTACCACAATTATTTGACTGAATCTAATAATGTTTCTATTCATAAGTCTTTTGCAAACATCTCTCTCTTTGTGAAAAATAAGAAATAAAATGAATAACATTGGTACTATCATACATTTGTTGGACAATGAACACCTTTATGTTTGAATGATGTTTGAGAATTAAATAATTCATTCTCCCATAGAAAGTCATTTAAATGTTCTGTAGACGGACCTGTGGCTACGTTCTCCCCTGATCCGCCTTTATCCACATCACCGACATCATCATCAAAATCTGAGAAACTGCTTATTATTGTGCTACCACCTCCACCAACAAATCCAGAATCAACTAGATTGTCTGGAAATATTAGTCCGGATCTAACTTTCCCGGTGATGTGGTCGCAGTCAACATTATTAGTATAAGTTGGTGACAAGATTAAATTTGAACATGGAATTGCTGTTTCTGAGAACATGGGCTTCTTCGTAGCGCTACGTACATTCCCATAGAACTTGTCACCCGGTATCCATCGTCCATCTACAATAGGATCGTAGTTATCACTTCGTATTGGAAGAATAGCAACTGACTGTGTCTGATTACAACTCGAATCCTGTATATTTTCTACTTTCAGTGGTGTTCGCCTAGATTGGTTATTCAGATTACGAGTGACGAGATTATTAACACTGTTATTACTGTAATCAAAGTTATGCGAAATATTACGCTGAAGAGTATGTTTGCTGAACGGTCTTCTAATTTCTGTATTCGAGATATCTAGATAAGCAAAAGTTGAAAGACAATAAAAGTTATATATATATATATATATATATATATATACTCGCCTACATAGGTATGTAATCGGCCTACTCAAAGTCAAAATACTCTATTAACTTTATTATTATCCTTAGTCATCCCACTATGCTATCATCCTATTAGATCTGACCAAACGACTGATTCCCAATCAATAATCTATGGTGTATTAAAATTATATCATGATACGATATTTGGATGTTACATATTGCAAGTAGTCAAGAACCAAATCTGAAAAATGAATCCGCAGTACTCTTTAAAAAAAAATAAAGCCTACACAGTATCTACTAGGTTTTCAAAAGTTTTCCAACCGATGTCAGTCCCTTGATGAATACCCTACTGAAATTAATCAAATTCCCATAAAACTCCAAAAGAAAAATCTTTGTTTCTGTTTCCTCAAGTTTATAACGTGAAATAAGCGAATAATGCGACCAGATAACACACTTTAAGATTTCTCTCACATACAAAACTTACCCATTTCATGATCCCATGCTAGGTCGAATGCAGAATCCATGTCTGGTGATTCGAAATTGATGGATTCTGACATGTTTCCAAAAAGTCATGATGGTGATTTTGAAAGATAAAAGATGTCAGTAATATAAAGTTTAACGATATGTGAATAATATACGTTGACAACTTTTAAAAAAAAGTCATCCAAGACATTTATTTATCATCAAAAATAGAATGGGTATTGTAAAATTAACTTGGTAAAAATGATCCCTTTCAGTGAATCTATAAACATCAAAAGGTGTTGCCAAACTCCCAGATAACACCGCATTTTACATAATCACACAAAATACTCGACCTTACGTTTCAGCTGCTTTTTCTAGGAAAGAAACGAAAACAAATCACCACCAAACCTTACAAAGATGTGAATCAGTTGAAGTTGCCACACTTCAAAACTGCATGCAAATAACAGGTTGATAGGATAATAACGATTTTAAAGTAAAGAAAAGTGAGCGAGAGGAGAAAGAATTTAAAAAATGAAGCTGAGTGGAAACGTTCAAGCTTTACAAGATGTCAAACAGGGAGTACATCTAAGCACTTGTGACCGATTTTCATTTATATCACCAAGAGTTTCCAACAATTGATTCCTATTATTTCGAAGGCATCAATCACCCAGTCTATGCCTCCCCCAACATGCCTCACGGGAACCTTTTCTCAACCGAATTCTACTTTGACTAATATAGTACATGGATGTAGGCAGTGGCTCAGTATGCGAAACATATGTCCACGTCATCTAAGTTGGCGAATAATCACAACTTCATCATTCCAAATATACTCAGATTTCTACTTAAGGCATTCAGAAGACTCTACATTTTGTTAGCATCTTTACCCAACAAGAAAGCACACTGTGTGCTGAAAGTCAACCAGGCGCCCTCATAGAAACAAGTCAATTCCTGAGCAGTCAGAGCTACCTACTATCATCACATTTGTAACAAACTTAAATACAAATCGCTATAGTTGGCATCCCTGATGATAAACAGATTTCACAATTACCTGAATAATGGACCATGTTGCAAAACCACACACCGACACATCAAAGTACAAGTTATTAAAAATAAAAGATAGAGAACTAAAAAAGAGAGCAGTCAAATTCGTAAATACTTGTCAAAAGAGAATCCTGTCGCTTAGGCAGAATAGAATGAAGTGGGGTTTCACTTCAAAGGTCAACAGTTAATAGGGTCCTGGATCCAGACTACAGAGTGGTGGAGAATACTTGTAGCTCAGGTGCATGGTCTTGTTTGTACTGCGTTTTTAAACAACCCAGCTCAGAGAAGATAATACAACCAAAACTACGGAGTTGCAGATGAAAATTCAGTCACGAAGAAACGATATGCCTAACAGGAATCAATGGATTTATATACGTAAGCGGATTATTCAATTACATAACAGCCAGACAGCTATATTCACACTAAACTACTAATATATTTCAAATATTGCCAATTAATTACACAGTGAACATTGTATCACATGATAGTCATAAAACTGATTGAAATAAAGGCAAGACATTTTTGACTTAGCCAGCTGATATGATTATCACTCCAAAAAGACCGCATTAGCAGCGCATTTACGTAGATTTCATGTGTATCGGTTCATCAAGGGAACTAGGCACTCGAAAAGTGATGACGTATACCAGGTTCATGATCTTTTTTCAGTAATATGCGTAGAAATTTTAAATTGCACCATTGCTGACACAAAAGATAACAATACTGACAATAATTATAATTACGTGCATACACGCCTATTCATGAGATTTTGATGGCAAACAGCTGTCGAAGAGAGATGGGGAAGGTTTTCTTTCGAAAAAAAACATTCCAACAGTATTACCACTGAGAGACACTGGTGCACAAAAAATGTCTTTATGTTTTAAGCAGAGAGTGAATCAAGATTGCTTACCAACAGATATTACATCACCATATCGCACACCATCTCGAATTACATACATGCATACATAAGTATTCGCAAATGCAAAGCAAAAGAACCAATAAAATAATAGAAGGAAGTTAGCAGACTATAAACGTATTTACATAGAACTACAAATAATAGTCAGATATGGAGTGGCTGTTAACTAGTTTCAGGAAAATCCCTTTCATGATAGTCAATTTCTTGCTGCTAGTTGGTCATAAACTCGACAGCGACATAATCTCAATGCTAGCGAATATGTCTAACACCAAAACACTAGTGCAGAACAATAATGACCAATCACTCCAAGGACAAGTGAAGTTATTTATCAGCTTATAGTGACTACTACTCACTAGTGGTTAGTGAAATGACATTTTCTCATGCAAACAAAATGCTCTTAAGTTCAATAATTACTAAACCAAAAAATTATATTTCGAGATTTGAACAAATGTTGAAAAAAGTTAAAGATACACATTTCATGGTTCAGGTGAACGGGCAATAAAATGTATGAGATCTCTATAAAACACTTATCAAATAACTTGATTCATAAAATAATAGCCGTTTCACGATCAGATGAACATTTATCATAAAATGAGAATCCCACTTGAAACAAGCCTAAAACAACTAGGAAAGTTACTATGGCTTCAGTAGTCAAGTAAAACCTCATCAGGCATCTTGTAGCCGAAGCGAATACTATTGCTTGGCAGATAATCCGCGCATAAATGACAAATACACTCGACATAAGCTTTATTTCACTATCTGAATACAACATTGAATTCAGTTCATCGAGAGGTTTTATAAAGGTGTGCTCAAAACGCATATCACTGAGGGTTTCACACCTGAGCACCCATTATCTTGTTAGAACGTACAGTCAACTGCTAGACGAGTTTTCTACGTTCAGTGGTGTCCGTCAACGATGTTCACTTCCTCCATTTTTATTCAATTCTACTATTAGCATTTTCACCGAGGACTTTCTATCCCTTAGCCTTCCGGTAGGAAAGACCACCTAGTCAACTTATAGAAGGCAAACTACATAGTCCTGCCACCTGAAGACCTTAAAAACACGCAGTCTTCTGTATATGTTGAGTGAAAACTCAAGAATGTTTGGGAAAAGGTTAGCTAGCGTGTGGAAGTCAGATATGACTCCCTCTGGCTGGTCCCACTCTTCAAGGAAGACGAGAAATTCTCATGTGATAACCACAAAGGAAGCAGCCTGATAAACAGTGCCTAAGATTCCAGGTTCGATAATAGAAAGACGTCTGAATGAAGCTCTAAATCAGTAAATCCAAGAAAACCAGACAGGTTTCAGATCTGATCGTGAGTGTATAGACCAGATATTCACTTCTCATCACGTTTTGGAACACAGACACATCTACCGATGCCCAACACAAACTCCATTTCTTGACTTGAAGGAGGCATTCGACGTCCACCAAAAAGTCTGATAAAAGGGATGTCAGGTAAGTATATCACTCCGTTGAAGGCTCCTTACTCGAACACTAATGAGCACGTTGCAATATGTGGCCGTCAAGGATATTCACTATCTACATTTTTATTCAGCTTCATCACACACATATATTTGGAGGTAACACACCTGTCTTCTGATTTTAAAGGGATTGATCCAATCAAAAAAGACTCCCCGGTAGGCCTAGATTTCGAAGGTGACAAAGTACTGTTAGGTGAAGACGCTGGAAAACTTGAATGGCAATATGAGTATTTCGGGATGCGCTTCTCACCACCCAAATGCAAATTGCTTCTGTGTATCGACAGGGTGAGAAATGGTTGAGCATGTCGATCACTTCACTTACCTGGGAAATCAGGTCAATCCTGGTGGCTCGGTAACCAAGAACAGCTCTGAATATCATCAGCATTGGACAAGGTATTACTGCGAAACGGTCTAAGTTGCCACACCTCATATCACCAAATCAAGTAACGGAGAAGATGAAGACAGGATGAGAGATCGGTCAAAAGCAGTAAAAAGAGAGGGAGTAGGAGTGATAAAACGCTGAATTCAACAAAGCGATTAGGACCAAGATACCGTATGGTTACATCTGCGCCACTGACATCAGCTCTGAACCACATTACCTAGTGTCGAACCTCTGGTTTCTATTGTCACGCGAACCCCAACTGACTAGTCTACATAGCCCTACACAGCCCAGACAAAGTCAAAGAAGTCATGGATTGATACCACGTCTTAGTCTGATCGCCTCTATTCTTTGTCCAGCCTAAACCTACTTCAGCTGACATTGCACGATAAAGCGGGTGATGACTAGGCACGCGCTACACATCCCCCAGCTATCTCAGTTGATGAAGGTCCACAACCTAATCAACTCTTTCCCCACCTGCCTAAAACTTTATACCTGACTTCTGCGTTACTAAAGTGGTGACAAAACGCGGTCTATAATATGAAGAGAAAGGCGGTCAAACACCTGAAGCCTCGCTGTTTTTCACCTTTAATGGCCATGTTTCACAACTATAGAGTAGGACAGAGTGAACTGCAGCACAGTACACTCGACCCTTAAACACAGTCGGATATCATGGTGGCACCATGGAGGGCGTAGTTGGAGAATGCCATTCAAGCCTTTCGCATCCGTGCAGAAATTACGTCGGCCACTGACCTATTACGGCTTATCCAACCTCCCAGCTGAGTGAAGTGTTCAACGCGCTCAGCCTCTTCACTCCTAAACGTTACCCAGGACATTGGCTGAAGATCAGTTCTGGAGCAACGATTTGGATGTTGGTGGCGAGAAACGCATCCCAAATATTCTCAAATTGCTATTCATGTGTGTCCAGAAGACTCTTCATCTTGTCAACATCACTTAACAGGACTGTGTCGCCTGCGTACTCTAGATTTGCCAAGGGTTCTCTCGTGATTAGATCAATCCATGCGAAGTTAGACTATGAGAGGGAGACCTCTATAATAATATCTAAAATTGAATAGGAATGGAGAGAGTGAGCAGCCAAGATGGACACAGCTTACCTGACAACTCACCATAAGTTTTAACACGTTCATGAATGTCCAAGTAAAGAGCCTCTAATACGTTGATGTACTTACTCGGTACCCCTTACAGTGATATACACTGTCATAAGACCTCATGATTGACAGAGTTGAATGCCTCCTTTACCTCAAGAAATAC